TATCTAAAGCCACTGAAATTGTGAGATTGTTTGTTATACCTTGCCCCGATTGACTAAGTAAAAAGGGAAAGCTTTGTTTAATGAAAATATTGCCTTTGACCTTGAAGAACAGGCAGCATAGTGTTGGTATTTTTCTAATAAGTATAACATAAAAAGAAGAGAGAGGCAGCCTTCTTTAGTTGCCATTGCACTAAACAGCTTTGACATTTTTAACAGCACTAAAATATGAAGTGGCATTGACTGGTAGGAGACAGAAGCAGTAACATTTTTTGAAAGGAGGCAGAAATGACCATGAGGCCAGGCGGTCTCAGTGGTACCAAGAGCGAGGTGATTATAGGGAGAGTGGAAATAAAGATTAGGCACAGGATGCTGAGGGGCTGGAGACGCCGTATCTACGGGATGTGTGTACACCCGCACACGTTTGTGTGCACTCACAGAATTGTGTTTACGCACAATGGGGCGGTGCTTTGGGTGACTATACCATTTCAAGCAAAGTTTTAATCAAACTTTAAACTGTACAACTTTATTTTACTTCCATCACAGAAGAAGGGACCCTCCTAGAATATACCCTTTCTCTAAGAAAAGTGAGCAGATTTCCTCCTATCCTCATCCCCTCTGTATCCTGGCTGTCCCTGTCCACTTGTACCCGCTCCTAGAAATACAAGTTCCTGCTCTTCTGTAGCCGAAGTTGACGTTTTCTGTATCTTACCTTAAAGGTTTATTTTTCTCACTTTTCAAGTCTCAAGAATGTGTTCCACTTAACGAATCGGATATCAGGAAAGCCATTACTGACTTACTGTGGCTTGTAGTGCTGCTGCTCCTCGATGACCTACATAAATGTAAAATATGGTTTTTAATCATACCGCCAGAAAAGTGGCAAACAGTAGAAATTCCGGGTATTGTAGAAGGCTGGAAGAATACATAAATGACTAACCCATTAAATTATTGTTAAATGTATTATTATTTGTTATTAAATTGTAAAAAAAATAATTTCTTAATAAAAGAAGAGCTAACACTTATAAAACACTTCCTAGCTGCCAGACATTGTTCTAAGTGCCTTGCACGTATCCACTGAATTCTCAGAACACTCTGGGGAATAAGGAACCATTTCATCCCCATTTTGCAGATGAGGAAATGGAAGCAGAGAGAGATCGAGCAATGAGCCCTAGATCTGGCCGCTAGGAAATGCTAACGTGGGAATTTGAACTCATGTCCTGGCTCTAGAGTCTGTGCTTTGTCAGAGTCGGTGACATTTTTGTCGTGGAGAAAAGGGTGGTGGGGATGGTTGTTAGTCTCTCGGATGACACCCACAGGACAGTCCTGTTGACAGTTTCCAAGTGAGAAGTATCTTAGAGCCTTTTTTTGACACGAAGTTACGTTACATCACCTTTCTGTATGTCACCTTTCTGTATCTCAGTCTTCTCTTCCAACAAAACGAGGAGGGTGTACTAGATAACATCTGCAGCATTCCTGCGCTAAAATGCTCATTTCTTGCTGCCTGTGAAGACGCAGGTCCGTTTCTGCCTCCGAGATGCTTCAAGCTAGAACTGCAGGGTCGGGTGTCACGTAGATCAACTGGTAAGGAGGATGAGGGTTAGAACTCCAGGAAACCTTGGTCTTCACCTAAGAAAAACAAAAAGAAACAGGTGCCTATTGTATGCTGCGTTTTAAATAGATTATATAATTTCATTCTCACAGTAAGATTGTGAAATAGACAGTACTGTCTCCATTTAAAAAATAAAGCTGCAACTTAGTCATACCTAGTGATTTGCCCAAGGTGGCCCAGCTAGTCAGGGATGCTGGCAGGATTCAAATACCACCTGACTCCAAAGCCCAGGGCGCATTTCACAACCCGCGCCTCCTTTAAGATCTGCTATATCATTCCATTCTCACTGCAAGCCTACGTGGTAGTTAACCATCTCCCTATTTCACGGAGGAGGAAAGTGACTCTCAGACTGGTGCAGTCACTTGCCAAGTTAGGGGCCTGGCTCCGAATAGGTGGGAGACGAGCCTGCAGGAGGGGGCACGTAGGCGCGGAGGCCGCAACCGAGCTCCTCCTCCCCACCCTGCTTCGTTCACAGCGCGACTCCCACCTTTCCAGGTCCCAGCCGCGCGCACGGCCCGCCGGGAACTACACTTCCCGTCAGGACGCGGGCGCGCGCACGCGCACCGGGGCCTCCGCCATGGCGACCGTGCTGTCCAGGGCGCTCAAGCTCCCGGGTAAGGAGTTGCAGCCTTGCGACCACCCCGCCCCCGGGGGGGTCTGGGGAGATGGGGAGGTGAGATGAGGCTCGGGGGGCGAAGCCGTTCGGGGCCTGGCCCCAACCCAGGCGGAGCTGCAGGCGCGCGTAGGCGAGCGGGTGCAGTCTCCGCGGGCTGTGGTCCAAGCACCACCAGGGGGCGAGAGGGGCGCCCGGCGGGTTGGGGGTCGCTGCCGCGGGGCGAGCCTGGGAAACTCGAAGTGTGGGACCGCCGAAAGCGCGCGGGGCAGGTGGGCGGGCGGGGGCTGGCGCTGCTGCGGCGGCGAATGTCACAGCGCGCGGTCCCATCTCTAGGGGAGGGCTGGTGAGGGGAGCATCCTTTCCCGAGCGTCGCGGACGAGGTACCGCTGGGTCTCCATCTCCGTCCCTCTTGGATAGGACCTGGGCGGAGGCGGTGGGGATGGGGGCGCCCGGCAGGATGGCGAGTGACCTGTAGCAGCCTCTCCATCCGCTTAAAGACAGCATTGAAGCAGGCGTGAAGTAGGTGGGATAGATATTTTCCCTCCTAGTTTACTCAGGAGGAAAATAAGAGTTATTTGGCTAATTGACTTGTCCAAGGTCGCCCGAGCAGTACTGGAAAAACCTGGACTTGAATGCCAGCAGTCTTTTAACGCTAGATCCTGGGCTTTTGATTCCACTTGGTCGGCCCATTTATGAGCTGTCTGAATGATTTGGCAACTGCAGGTTGCAGATAATGTATTGAATATTTTTTAAAGAGGCTTTGGTGGTTGGTGATCACAACTTCCAGAGCTAATTCAGTACTTTGGGCAGCAGCTCCATTTTCTTTTTCTTTTCTTTTTTTATTTTCCTCTCCCTCCCCCGACCCCCCATCTCTTAAACCTCCAGGATGGGACTGTGCTGCTAGAAACTTGCTATTTTAGTAAAAGTATATTCTGCCCAAATAAATTTTGAATGTTAAGGCTTCACAAATTTTATGGTTCTACCTAAATAAAACTTAAACATTAAGCTTTAATCATTTGTTTGCTGTTAAGGTGTTAGTGGGACAAGCAGTTGCTTTGGCATCCTCAGAAAGGGCTAGTTGGGTGTCTCGTGGATATCCAGCAGGCTGCAGTGAGATCGCAGCCTCCTGTTTCTCAAGGAGCTTCCAGCTTGCTACATTGAGTCATGGATGAATGGGTTGAATATGGATTTGATATGAATTTTTGCATTTCTGTCCCCAGACTTCATGACCTAAGACATTTGTTTTCACATGGGCTCTTTAAAACATTGGAAGAAATATTGATAATAACTATCTTAGAATGTGTAAGTACCATTGTAATGAAATGGAGGTGGGGTGGGGCATGTCCCTTTACCTGCAGGATTACTTAACTTGGAAAACAGTAGCCTGGTGTAGCCTTAGTATAGGTTTATATTCTCCCAAGGGGGTAATGAGATGTCAGACATATTTAGCTTTATTCTTTATTTCTTTTTTTCCCTTTTAGATTCCTTCCTCCCCCCCACCCCCCACCACCAGTGTAGGTCATTGTTATTCTCTGAAGAGGGAATTCAAGAAAATCTTGCTTTTGAGACTTTTGAACTCTTCTGCATTGTCTCACCCTGAGACTGTGGCATTATTACTCCCTGGAGTATTCAGTTGCAGTAACTTGGTCTGCTGATAGGGTAGGGAAAACACAGTCTGGTTCTTGGGCCTGTGTCTGGACAACAGTTTGCCCTGAGCAGTCAGGTATGTTTGATACTTTTTAAGGCCCAGATATAATAGCCATATGTTCTTATGTGATGTAGGGTTTTTGTTTGTTTTTGTTTTTGTACATTAGCTTGTCTCCCTCTTGCCTTTTCTCCCTTCCACCCCCAATACAATTTTTAGCTTTTATAATAGGTCGAAGTTGCTTTCCTATAGCTCTTTTGGATATGCTGTAATTGGGACTGTAATTGGGAGGCTGCTATCCTGTTTGGTTTACTGTGTCACATTACCTTAGTTAAATTCCTCACTATTTTTTTTTAAATAGGATAGAAGTGACATTAATTTTAGGTGTATAATGTGATGATTCAATATTTGTATACAGGAGCGTATTGCAAAATGATCACCACAGTGACATCCTTCCTAATTTTATGTGTAAGGCAACAGACTAGATTGATGACTAAGAGCATGAGACAGACTTGGATTCAAATCCAGTCTCTACCAGATTAGTTAATTTCTTTAAGCTTTAGTTTTTTCATGTGTAATAATATTATTATGGAACACTGATTATATGCCACATACTTTACTACATATTGTCTTCAGGGTTATTTGGCATAGTGAAAATGATGGATGTGCTTGAGAGGCTTGTTAACCTTTAACACGTTAGTTATTCAATAGGTGTTAGCTATGACCATTGTCATCATTAGCACCATGACATTTACAAATGTAATACCTGAAAGAAGGCCCATGTAACAGTGAGCTAATGATAGTCGTCAACCTCCTGAAGAAAGATGTTTGGCTCATATGCATGGAATGAGGTTAATTAATAACAGAAGGACAATGTGACATTCATAAATAGCCTGTTGGACATCTTATCTCTTAAGTATATATATATTTTTAATCCATTTTAAAGCTTGAAGGTCAAACACTGAAGGGAACATCAGAGCATAATGTTATTGTAATGGTTTGTTTTATTATGTGTAACTTAGAATGATTGTGCGCCCTGGATAAACTAACCCATGATGTGAATTATTTACCTTTAGTTGCAGTAGACTGTATTATAAGTCTATGTTAAGTAGTACATGTCATAGAATAGTATATGTTATAGTATATTTTCCTGAAAACTTTTGGGAATGGTACAGTTGCATCTCTTTCCTATTTATGTTTTCCTCCATACCATTTTGGGAATGCTATGTGTCCAGCGCCCTCAGACTTCCTAGGAGGAAAAGTGATAGGTGTGGAAAGCTAATTTGTATTGATGTATTATCAAATCAGTGACTTCTCCCATATTCATTGAAAAACATTCATTGATTAAAAATGTAGCTGGTGGCTGAAATCAGCAGAGAAGAGAGTGCTAAAGTGCCCTGAGCTTTGAAGCATGGTTTTGATGTTTAGCTCCTCAGCCTGAGGAGTTGGTGAACTTTATACATCTTTGTTTTCTTTATGTGAAACATAGATTTAAAAAAAAAATATTTACTTAGGAGTTCTTTAATCAAAACTTGAAGTCTGTAATAATTAAGCCGAGGTTTGTCTTTGCACTGCCTGGAAAAATACATACTATTAATAGGATAAAAGTAAATATTTATCTTAAGAGTTTTTATAAGAATTGGTCCTCATTTTCTATGATCTTTTAAAGAAGGACTCAAGAGTAAGATACTTAGCCTCTGAGTTCTTACGTGCTTGCCTTTATACTTCAGAAATGTCATGTCTGGGTCAGAGTTCTTGTACTTTGCACTCTGTGCTTTTTCTCAGAGGACTTTTTACATACTGTTGCACGATCTTTTAGAAATGTATGTTACTGTGAGAAGTCAGACTGATTTTTGTTCCCATCGTTAGTGACATGATTGTTTTTCCTTGGCCTGGTTGCTCATGTGATGCTTTCTTTGTCCTTGAAGTTCAATGCCTTTACTAGGCTATGTTTCAGTATTGATTTTTGTGTCAGTTTTTCTTGGGGCTCAGTGTACCCTTCATTCTGCAGGTTGAGGTCTTGCTTTATTGCAGGAACTTTTTTTGTATGTCTTTTTAATATTGTTTTGGGTTCCATTTTCTTTTCTGTTTTTGTCTTGAGTTATGCATTTATTGGATCACCTTTGTTTCCTATATCCATCCCTTTCTTTCCAGTCTTTAAATGCCTTGGTCTTTTCCATGAGAGTCACACAGGTAATCAGTATAGATTTTAAAACCAAATTGCCTGGATTTGAATCTTTGAACCATCCCTTACTTGTTGTTTAGCCATGGGCTGGTTACTTAAATTTCCAAACCCCTGTGTCTTCATCTTTGGAGATAATGTGTCAACCTCAAAGAGTTGTTATGAAGATTTACTGAGGTAGGACAGTAAAAGGGCGTGGAAGAGTGCATAGTAAGTGCTCAAAACTGCCAGCCATTGTTATTTCCATTTGTCTTGATTTTCACCCATCTGTCCTTTATGTCTCTGACTCTGTTTTCAGCAGTGTCTGTTCTTTTTGCTGATTCCAACAAGGATTTCTTTTCTAAAATTGTTTTATTATTTGCTTCCATTGTTTTCCTGTGCCCTGCTTGTTTACTTGTCATCTTCTCTTGAATTGTCATTTCTTCTTAGAAATATTATATTTTTTCTTATTTCAGAGAAGGATATTTTCTTTAATTTCTTGGATTCCATGGGGAAGGATCTGTTTATTATTTCTTATATTTCTTAGTATTGTTTGTCCAGCATTTGTTCTTTAGCTGATTTTGTTTGCTATGTTTTGTTGTAACTTCTTTCTTGAAAATTTGTAGAACTTTGTAGTATCAGAATGACTACTAGTGATGTCTCCTTTCTGACTACTATTCATATTTAAATGTTTTACAACTAGCCACTGGCTAGCGTGTGGGCGGAGGAGGGAGCGAGGGCAGCTGGAAACAGGAATTTAATCCAGGTTTGTTAACTCAGATCCCTTTCTCCTGACTGCTCTTTGATGGACGTCCTATCCTGGCAGGCAGGTGGCAGCCAGTTTGTGGGAGGGCCTTAGCTTGCTGACTTAGCATTGACTTCTCTTTGCTGTGCCCGTTATCAGTTTATTGCCCCTGGACTCCAAATTCACCTTTGTTGTCTTATCTGTGAAAGTGGACCTGGACTCTTTCTTTACCTGCCAAGCTTGCCCTTCTTTAGGCCTCGGCGTCTCAATCCTACAGTGCCTTTTAGTGTGCTCTTCCCAGCTTTATATTTACTCTCCTGTCACTGTTTAATAATTTTTTTTATATTAAACTTGCCCTCTTTGAATTACCGTCTGGTTTCTGTCTTCTGATTGGACCCAGACTGTCAAAAAAAAAATCTGCCTCACCTGAGCTGATTGCACCACAGG